ATTTTTTCTTTGTTATTTACTATTATTTACATTTATAAATAATTAAAAAAATAGAGAAGGGAAAACGCAGCTTGGATCCACCTTGAGGAAAAGCATCAACAAAAAATTTTTGCTGTTGGGTTAATTTATTTAATTTGATTAGATAAAAAAAAATTCTTTCTTTTAAATCAAAAAAATGTTTTAATTGTTAATTTTTTTTTGTTAAAAATTTGAGATTTTAAATTTAAGTTATATAATATGCAAGTAAATTAAGTTAAAAGATAAAAAATAGTTATTTCTATTAACCATATATTTTTTTGACAAATAAAATGTCTATATACATTTAAGTTAATTTGTACGCACTACTAGAATTCATTACTTCACCCACAAGAAACCACGTCAGATACAAAGGTAGTTACGTCGGTGAAACAATCTACCATCTTGCAGTATGTCGGAAATGTATTTCTCGATGAAAGTGGGCTCGGTGATTCATATACTAACGTGGATTAAAGTCACATATAAACCTACTGCCAATTACTGACAAGAAATTTCTCTCAAATATTAGGCTGGAACAGTAACACTGGAGATATTTTCTGGTGATCCATGTCGGTAATTTACCGACGAGAATCACGTTTGCAAATACAGAAAAAGGTGAGCTACGTCAGTGATTCAACGGAGGGAATGCTGTTTGCATTTAACCATCACTAACAAGACTAAAGTCGAAAAATTGAGGCGCTTCTTTCCTCTCTCCAACTTATCGACGAACATAATGTTGGTGCAGGATGTTTATTGAATTAATCTGCAAAAATAATAGTTTCATTTACCGACAAGGATAACATCGATAAATAAATCTGCAAAAAAAAAAAAGGTTAAAACCCCTTTTTGGTCCCTGAATTATTGTACGGACCCCCGATTTGGTCCATGAACTAAAAAAAAATCCCTGATTTGGTCCCTACTGTTCACCATTTTAACCCCGATTTGGTCCTTCCGTTAAAAATCTAGTGACGTGTACTGTTAACTAACGGGAACATGATGACATGTCATATAGTAATCCACGTGGAAGATAATATAGTCAAAAAGTGAT